CTCAACTTGGTCATACTGACAGGAAGACCTAGAGGAACGCACCTAGTCCAGAGTCCATAGTATGCATGATCATTTCCAATATCGGACCGTGGGTGTGGTACATTCCTAGACGTTTCGACGGCATCGTCAGTGAGCCTTTCCATTCTTTGCACCACACGACAACTCGTCTAAGAGACAAGTAAAGTCGATCCTTTGACCAAGTATCTGAGAAATAGTTGTGGTATCTCAACAAGGTCAAATAACTTATATACAGTAAGTATTGTTGCAATAACGAATGCCGTTAAAATTGGTCACCTATTTTTCATTCTTGGCTAAGTCAATTATATGTATGTTAGGAAAATATTAACTCAATCGAGAGCATCATTAAGAAGGAGCCGAGCCAACTGGGATTTGCTATGAAGGGAAGAAAATAAGTGAAGGTTATATACCCACCTCTAGGACAAATTCATATGAAGGTCGCTGGAAAAGTGGCTTCATGTCATTTGTATCCCGCACCAGCACGCGGACTCGGGTCTTGCTGGTCAGACTCGAACTGGCATCTCCCAGGACGTGTTCGCTAACACCAGTCTGTTCACCCCCATCCTTCGCCTCCACAGCCAACCAGTACTCGGGCATGGCCTCTCGATCAGGCGAAAAACGCAACCCCAGTCGACCAGTTTGAGAGTCGATCGAGAATAAGCGAGCAGCTTCAGCCAATGGCAGTGGATGTGTAGCATTGCTATTGAAGGCGATAGCAGTGTTACCGGTTGTAGACATCCCATAGGACAAGGAATGATTTGATGTCAAATCAGGTGGCGATTGATCTACTATTGTGGCTGTTAGCGTTGGGGAATTCGATAGCTCAGGGGCGAGAGACCAGGTGTGGTCGGGTTCCGTTAGAGAATAAGTGATCTGACCGAAGACACCACTATCGAGGTCTTTTGCAGTCAGCTAACAGGGGGTAGGTAAAATAAACATAAAATAACAAGTTAAGTAATTTTTTGGATGTCGCAAAAATGATGGATAAAACAGAGTGAAGCCTAAGCAAGAGCTTAAATTTTAAAATTAACAAAGTTAAATACCAAAAAGATGGACAAGAAGTATCTAGACCTGATCAAAATGACAGTAATATCATTAGAACTAAATGCATCCTAAAAGCAAAAATAACTTTTAGCCATTAATCAGAAATTGGTATTTCAGCGAAGTTAGAAGAATGTAAAAAGCAGTTTTTAAAATAATTTATTAAGAAAATAAAAAGGATGGTCAACTATCTAAAA